ACCCTAAACCCTAAACCCTAAACCCTAAACCCTAAACCCTAAACCCTAATCGGCTCCAAGATCTCATTCTAAGTTCCCAGGTCCCTGAGAGGCCCTAAGCGCTCTGGCTCCTTGGCAAGGAGACCATAACCTCCTTTCGTGCCGCTGCCGCGGCTTCTGCCCCTCCAGGCCCGTTTGGGGATTGGGGCTTGGCGTTCGGGAGATCAGGGTCTCCTACTGTTGCTGTTTTAGCAGGAGTCATCACGAGTCTTTAAAGGGTTCTGTGCAGTTTTTGTTCCGGGGTTTATGGTATCTTCCCCGGGGCTTTCGGTGAGAGTTTTTCGGTTCCTTTTAACTAGGGTTTTAGATTTTAGATGGTTTTTAAAAGAGCTTGGCAAGGGCTTGCAAGAGCTTGTCCTGAGGAGTTCTTCATGTTCAAGGTCCCTCTTTGTTGTCTTTATGTAACCCTAAACCCTAAACCCTAAACCGCATCAGGCCTCCCTTTTAGGGGGTCTTTCAGTTTCTGAAACCACCGCATTGCATGGAGTTTCGGAGTTGGATTCAGGGATTCAGATTGGGGGTTCAGGGTCCCTAAACCCTAAACCCTAAACCCTAAACCCTAAACCCTAAACCCAGGGTTTCCGGGTTTAGGGTTTCCGGCTCAGGGGTTTGTAGCAGCACTTGCAGTCGAGCCTAAATTCTCCACCATGGAAGCCGAAAACCTAAAGCCTAAACCCTAAAGGCCCTAAACCCTAAACGCTAAAAGGCCCTAAACCCTAAAAGGCCCTAAACCCCTAAACGGCCCTAAACCCTAAACCTTAAAATGCCCTAAACCCTAGAAGGCCCTAAACCCTAAAATGCCCAAAAACCGGAGCCATCTTCGCGCTCGGAGTTAGCCCCAACCGGACTCCAACTTGAGACCCTCAAAGTTCAGGCAAGCGTCACCTGTAGCCGGAAAGACTGACCTTTTCAAGGAAGTATAGGGCTTAGGATTTAGGGTTTAGGGTTCAGGGCTAAGGCAGAAACTATAATTAGGAACCCTAGAAAGGTAGGTCTTCTGAGGTCGTTTCGGCTACAGGCACACCTTAACCTCTGAACCCCAGACCCTAGGGTTTGGGTTTAGGGTTTAAGCCTCAAAAGCTTTTAGGGGAAAGCCTTTTTCCGGCCTTCTACAAAAGCCCAAATGAAGCTCCCTACTGGAGGGTCCTGGGACTTAGTAGCGGTTTAGGGTTTAGGGGTTTAGGGTGTAGGGTTTAGTTATTGGGGGTTATAAATAATTATTGCTATCGTCACCTTCTTTCTAACCCCAGTTACTGAGTCCCATGATCCTCTAAGTAATCCCTAAGACCCATATAGTAGATCCCATCTTGAAAGAGCCCTCTAAGGAGCCCGTGAGTGAACCTTATATAACCCGACTTACCAAACCCTAAACCCCAAACCCCAAGCCCTAAACCCTGAACCCAAAACCCTAAATCCCAAAATCCCTAAATCCCTAAA